AAGCAACGAATTCGATTTTGGTTAGGACGGTACAGACGGCAGTCACAGGAATCTCAGTTTCCAAGTATTATATTTCCACCAGTTATTACTGTCATATAGACATATAATTATGTTATCTATAGTAAGTCGTAAAACCTTTCGGCGATATGATCACAAACACAATATGAAGAACTAAAGAACGTATTTAGCTGCAACACATGATTTATGAAGCACTAAATTTAGTATTTTTTGTCGATTAAACGTTAGCCACTATGGCTATATAGTTCCTTGTAAGGATAATGGCAGCAGATTAAAACAAGTTCAAGGGACGTGTTATACTGCAATGGACTGTTCTTACTTCAAGATAAGGAAATTGGTGTATGCTGCATCATTATTTGCCTTGTCACATTATTTCGCTCATACGGATTGGTCAGTTTGCAGTGTCTTACCCAATAATGTCTGCTGGTATATAAAATGTACATTACTGGAGCCATCCACCTCAAGTCTATATTCTTCTGTATGCTGTCATCTGCGAATAATCTGAGACCAAATTACACCATGAGTCTATAATCTTGTCCAAAAATAGATCCAAAGCCATGAGCGAGTCTGCCGACGGGCGGTGATTCATTCATGATTGGAATATTAACGTTATGATACCAACTAAAGGAAAAACAGACAGCTCTTCCATTATTATAAGGTATCAAATTAAAATGATCAACTATATATATAGTTCTAAGTTCTGTATGTGGAGTACTGTCTAATCGCTAGCTCTTCCATTAAGTAGCGCATCCTGGCGTTATCACCGTACCAGTGAATTTCTACTTCTGTCTGAAGATGACAAAAGCTAACCATCTTAACAATAAGCCTCCCACATTGTGACTGATCTGTGTGCATTGATATTCTACCGTGTGATAGGGACACTGGTGGAGAGAACAGATCAAATATGTATCAGTATTCCCGCTGTTCCGAGAGTCTTGTTACAAATTGATGGGGACGCTTTTACTGGTGTTGTATCTATGTACAACAGGGATGAGTGCGTCACGTATACCATTTATTAGTTGTATATGTCGAAGGAATATATTGGAATGCATAGCAATCAATTATCTATAATTATAACTATTTACATAGATATACGTCCGATGATGTAGTCTGTTATATAAATATGCATGATATATCGTATCTATATTTGGTAACACCGCCTTTCCTACTAGGGGTAGACAAGCAAGGCGGCATGTATCAATATTTACATGACCGTGTCCTGTTTGTGATGCTATGTAGTATAGTAGTACGTCACTTCCGGCAAATCGAATGGTTATGTATCGAACAAATACATAGGGATCCCGAGGGGACGGCTATTGAGATATTAACATACATTAATTCTTGGTAAATAATAACTCATCTGCACGTGAGCACGAGCAAATCAGCTAGATCGATCCATATATGGTTACTGTTCCTAACGTTAATCAGACACATTGAGGTTGAATTAATCAAGCTGTATTCATTGATGTCTAACTTAATCTATACAGACTCTTTCGGGAGTTTTACAGAAAACGACAATGTCGGTTTAATAATTTAGAGCGAGACTTGTGACGGCAATAGAAACATTTCACTTTCTATTAAATTCATTAAATGGCAGAACATGGCAAAAAGAATTCAATTATATCTGACGATCGGCCTATTTTTTCTAAAGGCCTTTATTGGTAAAAAAAAATCAACAAAATTTGGCAACTTGTTGGCATTTTTGTGCAGTAATAGTAATGCTTAAAAAGCTGTAAAAAAAACTTTTCGGTAAACATTAAATTTTCACACTTAGGAGAACGGGAAACATTATTGATATTTTGTTCCCAGAAGGTCTCCAGAGTTCTTGATAAGAGCTTTTAAATAAAGCATAACCCTCTACATAGCTAAAAGCGAAAATAACAAGAGCTTTAACACAGAAATATTACTGTAATATTGAATTATTTGTGTATAATCTTATATCACATGATACGGGGTTTCAGTAAACTACGGGATTTGTCCAGTAAACCCCATCCAGCTCAAGACAAGAACTATATCGAAATCAAGACTGAGATTCCATCGCTTGGTAGAGGAGATTCATGGAACAGCACTATCGCCCCTGAGGCCGTAGCCGGAACTATTGCGATTGTTTCTGACCTTCATGCCTAACTGGATTAGTCTGAGCGTTTAATGTATCGGTGAGAAATTGTCGATGGGCACGATAATTTTTTTTTTGGTGTGCCCAAAAGCCTTTCTAATGCAGTGTGAACATTAATGATCGTCTGCTACAGAAAACTTGTATTTCATCTTGTGATTTCCCAACTTTAGCCTCAAGTTGTTTTTTGTGCTGCTTTATAGAAGTCTCCATTAAGTTTAGAAGTCGAAATAACAAAATTGAATATACACTGGATTGACTGCCTCACTTATCACAAGTGTTAGGGGTAGAATAACGCTGTTCCAGCTAGGTCGGACATCATTATATCTAAATTCCTTAAATGATGGCATTATTTAATAGGTAATATGCAAATTTAGATATCTCATATGTTGTTTACTTCTGTCCTGCGTTTTATCAATATACCATACAAAACGGATAACATGCCAGTATTGTCGAATAAGCCACTTAAATGCAGCAATTGACCTTTTTATATAGGTATATATTGGAGAATCGGCGATCCCACAGCTTCTGTACGTCCACTACCTCCTGCAAAATATCAGATACTTTGTTACTCCACCAAAATGCCAAATCAGAATCTGACCACAAAGTCGACAGTCAAAGACAAAAAAGGGAAGTATGAAACTAGGTATCAACAAGCATGGAGATAGAAACGTATGCTTTGCTATGTAAGAAAGTGTGCCAGTCTCAGAATATCAGTATATTTTTGAATTACAAATTTTTGGGCACAATTAAAGTATATATATTTATTGAAACATTAAGGTTCATGTCGACAGGCCCTTTCCCCTTTCTCTTTATTTTGCATATAGTTTGAACACTTTAAACACGGACATTTAAAAACATTCTTTTGACCTAAACTAGATTAACGAAATCACCATATGGCACTGTAAAATCATTTACCTTGTTTGGCATTTACAAAATAAAATATGCTTTCTTCGTATTTCTAGTTATTCTTTTACGCAAAATGATGGTTTCCTCTGCTGTTTCCATCAATACCCAGGAGAGGCCATAGCATTGTAGCTGGACTACCAGTCTCCGAGCTAAGCCGTAACCTTGTAACGGGACTATCAGTCTCCGAGCTAAGCCGTAACCTTGTAACGGGACTATCAGTCGTCCCCGGGAGCGGCCATAGCATTGTATCTGGTCCATCATTCCCCGAGGTTAGCCGTAGCCTTGTAGCTGGACTATCAGTCCCCATGAGAGGCCATAGCATTGTAGGCTGATAATCAGTCACCAAGGTTGGCGGTGGCCTTTTAGCTGGACTATCAGTCCCCGATGTTGGCTATAGCCTTTTAGCTGGACTATCAGTCCCAGAGGTTGGACATAACCTGTTGGCTTGACTATCGGTCCCTGATGTTGAACATAGCCTTTTAGCTGGACTATCAGTCCCTAACGTTGAACATAGCATTTTAGCTGGTCTATCAGTCCCCAAAGTTGGCCGTGGCCTTGTAGCTGGACTATCAGTTCCCGAGGTCGGCCGTAGCCTTGTGACTGAGCTATCAGTCTCCAGGAGAGGCCATATCATTGTAGCTGGACTATCAGTCCCTGAGGTTGAACATAGCCTTTTAGCTGGTCTATCAGTCCCCAAAGTTGGCCATGGCCTTGTAGCTGGACTATCAGTTCCCGAGGTTGGCCGTAGCCTTGTGTCTGGGTTATCAGTCTCCAGGAGAGGTCATATCATTGTTGCTGGACTATCAGTCCCCGAGGTAGCCGTAGCCTTGAACTGGGCTATCCGTTCCTGAGGTTGCACATAGCCTTGTAGGTGGACTATCAGTCCCCGAGGTTGGCCGTAGCCTTGAACTGGGCTATCCGTTCCTGAGGTTGCACATAGCCTTGTAGGTGGACTATCAGTCCCGGAGGTTGCACATAGCCTTTTAGCTGAACTAGCAGCCCCGAGGTTAGCCGTAGCCTTGTATCTTTAGCCGTATCCACGTAGCTACTGTGTCTGTATGGACTATTAATCCCCGCGGTAAGACGTAGACTTTGTACCGGGCTGTCTCCCGATAACCGTTTGACTATGTACCGGGATGTCTCCTGATAATTGTTTGACTATGTACCGGGATGTCTCCCGATAATTGTTTGACTATGTACCGGGATGTCTCCCGATAAATGTTTGACTATGTACATTGTACCGGGATGTCTCCCGATAACTGTTTAACTATGTACCGGGATGTCTCCTGATAATTGTTTGACTATGTACCGGGATGTCTCCCGATAATTGTTTGACTATGTACCGGGATGTCTCCCGATAAATGTTTGACTATGTACATTGTACCGGGATGTCTCCCGATAACTGTTTAACTATGTACCGGGATGTCTCCTGATAATTGTTTGACTATGTACCGGGATGTCTCCCGATAATTGTTTGACTATGTACCGGGATGTCTCCCGATAATTGTTTGACTATGTACCGGGATGTCTCCCGATAACTGTTTAACTATGTACCGGGATGTCTCCTGATAATTGTTTGACTATGTACCGGGATGTCTCCTAATAACCGTTTGACTATGTACCGGGATGTCTCCTGATAATTGTTTGACTATGTACCGGGATGTCTCCCGATAATTGTTTGACTATGTACCGGGATGTCTCCCGATAATTGTTTGACTATGTACCGGGATGTCTCCCGATAACTGTTTGACTATGTACCGGGATGTCTCCTGATAACTGTTTGACTATGTACCGGGATGTCTGATAATTGTTTAACTCGGCATCATAATGTCTCCCGTTGCCTTCTTAGTGTTATTTAGTGAACACTTATAAAACATGTTAAAAGCCGTGTTCCCGGGAGTGTGCTACTCAGACCTGTTAACGCCTCCTTAATGCTTTTTATTATCTCTGTTCAATTAAGCCCCAGTGCTGACATCACGGCCCTCTCAATTATCGGTATAAGAAGTAATGCTGTATCAGACCCGGACATCGCTGTCAGGTTAGTTAGATACAAAATAGTTAATGCATGATTTTTATTCATTTACACACATTCATACAGATCGTATGAATACAAATTCATTCTAAGAAAATAGTGTTATGTCCTGCTCATGTTTGTAATATTTCACTAATTGAAAGATTCTTAACCTTCTAAAAATGCTATCAGTCAATAAATGCCACTGGCTTAGCACTTGTTTATCAAAACATCTAGCTAATATATACAAACAGTGAAATTTAATTCAGATTATATTTGTCATTGGTTATTCTACTACAAACAACAATAAATCGCCATTAGGCCACAATCCTTTTGGTAGCAGTTATTGATATTCTTTTTGTGTTTAATTGACAAATAGAACCGTGTGCGTCCTGTAATTGAGGTGTGTGTATCTTTTACATTGTGTGTAATTATCTCCATAGCACAGCAAACACCGTCGCCGTCAGATTTGAAAGATCAGTTTATCGTGTAGTCGGGTTCCGCAGCAAAGGGCCGGTTTCCAAAACGGACCCTTCGCTGATTCAAATTTCCTGTTGGTGGTGCATTGCCCATGCCGTTGTGGTCACAAATCTATAAAGTATAAAGATTTAGGTCACTTGGTTTGTTTTTTATGGCTCCTCAAAGTTGTACCTTTCAGAAGCTGTCTAAGTGTTGATAAAATGTGCATGTTATAACCTTCTTTTATTTACGAACTTATGTCTTTGATGCTGAAATTGACAACTTTATAAAAATCCACTTTCGCTAAAATTATGATATCTGGGTGTCGGAAAGGTGTAAAATTATTCTTCGGAAAAGAAAAAAACAGTAGTTGAGCTAGATAAGAAATTATACGGGGGCAGGCTCCTATGGAGAATTAACATTACTGGAAACAGGCCCTTTCAGTAGTTATATACAGTTATAAAATTGTGTAACGCTGTACATTACGGCTAGGGACGTGCATTAACTCCAGACTAGTCAATTTGAAAGCATGGCAAAACAAATTAGAAAACCAATCCATTTGTATTAATTTGTGATGTTTGTGCTGACTAGTTTGGGTATAAAGGGTTTAACGTTCTATAAGCAGCTACGCTCATTTAAGGACGTGCCTACTTTTGTGCACTGTATTTGTGTATGTGTGCTGGGGGCGGTATGTTGGTGTATTTGCCATCCTTGCAGTAGTGCTGACCTCGCTAAATGCACCTAGCATAGCGTTCCACCTGGTCACATTACACTGACAACGGATGGACCCGTTTTTGCGATTACCCGGAAAGCTGAACGTTTAGCAGAGAATAATAACTAACATTTGTAAGGACAGTGATATTTCCCAGCAAGATCACATGGACATAACCTAGTATATTCATTACTTGGACGAATGTTTATGATATTTATATAAAAGAGTCAATATTTTAAGGGTGATGAAACAGAATCTAGACAGACAGTCATTAAACCCCAATATATACATCATATATTAGACCCATACTTGAATGTTCACAAAATCTAAAACAAATCTCTCAGTGTCATTCCAACTAGAGGCTGCAAGAATAATTACAGGACTGCGTAGAGGCACCCCCCACAATATCTTGTACAAAGAATTAGTCTGGGTTCCTCTTGAAAGTAGGAGAAAACAACATAAATTGATGCTGATGTACAAGATTATGAATAATGGAACTCCCTATTATCTGATAGAAATCACCGAGTCACTTTTTCATGATCCCACACTAACTAGATATCCCCTTATATCAGTTAGAATATTTGATCCTCCTCTTTGTCAAACTGTTAACTATTCTAAACACTTTTTTCTACCCATGTTTGATGAAATAAATAGTACTACTTCAGATCTTCAAAATATTCGTTCCGCCTATCAGTTCATAATAACACCTATTCCAAATTCAAACACAAGAACAACTGATATTTTCAAGTGTTTAGGAAATCGGGAAACTAATAGTATTCTCTGTCAGTTGAGTGATGTGGCCAGTCACTTAAATAATGACCGTCAGAAAGCTTATCTTACTGAGTCCTCTGCATGTTCTTGTGGTTCTAGATTTGAAACAGCATCTCATTACTTCCTTGATTGTATAAAATACACTGAACATCAGACTATCCTTTTTCAGAATATATTCCATGAAACTCATAACCATTTATCATTAGTCATCCTATATGGTTTTGAGAAATGTGATGGAAATGAAAACAAACACATTCTTCTATCTGTATCCAATTAAATTTCAGGACATTTAACTATATCATTTAATGAAATTAATCATTCATTAGTTCATGCATTCTTTTTCATTCATTCATTCAATGTTTAATATAATTTCTGATTTCCAAAAATGGTACATTAACATTTCCTTTTATTTATTTATTGTTTTATTTTGTTTATTTTTAATATTGATGATGAGGGGTTTGGGGTTAACAAGACGGTTATACTATTTTGCTAAAAATATTGGGAAACAACTTCATAAATAACAATAGAGATTAATTTAAATGCAGATGTTCAATTTATATTTAGCATGTGTGTAATATGCATAACTGAAACTATTTGGTGGGATTGAATTTCCAAACTCATCAGTGGATGGCCTTGTGCGATACTATGGACTTTTTGGCCTGTACATGTATCTGTTGGAAACTGTAATTTATTTTTTCCCATCAAATGTTTATACATGCAGCTCTATAAACAAATTCTTTTTCTTTTCGCTTGATAACATGCATTTTTTTTTTTTATATCTTTTCGGTATCAAAATCAAAGGTTAGAATTTTAACCATCAGATTAAATTATAATAAAAATAGAATTTAATATTTGTTTCCCCTACTGATTATTTATTTTATAATATCAATGTTTATGTTCTAATGTCTATTATATATGCTTGTACCACTGTTTGTTAATGTGTTAGAAGAAGGGCTTAAATAGGCTATGCCAGCTGCCCAATCCATTCGTCGTTCGACAAGTAAATTTATTGAAAATGAAATGAAAAGCTCATTAACGGTTTTAATATTTATATTTATATTTAATATAATCATGTACATGCATACAATTGTACAAGTAGTTTGGGCGGGATAGAAATATCGCTTGTATGATGTTTTCGTATTTAAATGAGATGTTCCTGTCTTGGAACCTTGACCACGGCGCCAAATGACAGACAACCCATATGACCAATTAATCAGAATGACATTCGTCGTCTACAGGAATAACTTCACAACCTTTCGATGGCAATTCTCCATCAACACATCCCCCAGACAGGAGAAAATGAAGTTGTCAGCAACAATGACCATCATTTCTGTTGATGTGGAAACAAGCGATTTTTGTGTAAACTCAATATGACCCCGATATTCATGGAATGTAACCGGAATTGTACTAGAACTATGTGTTATTGTAAAGTTACACTTGTGTTTAAGTACAGACTTTTATCTTTACCCTGTTTAGGTCAGATGTGTATCGAATGCAATAATAATCAAAATCGCGAAAATGACTTCTTTAAAAGATTTTACTGTAGCTGATAGATATTTTGAGAGGTACTAATGCTGTCTTGTTCTTTTTTTCTTCGTCAGTGGTGTCTTCAAAATCTTTTGGAAAGATTTTCATCCGTGGACAAACAGCAGAAACATTTTGTTCTGATTTACTTCCCTGAGATTGGAGAATACAACATTGTATTCGTAAGATACTGAGTACACTGTACTGTTGTAGCGTGGACGTATGTAACAACACAGCAGGTCATTTCTAGTGACAACCAATAGATACCGCAGTACCCCGAACACCAACAGTTGTTACCCACTCAAACCTGATAATGTCAGTGCTTACTTCGCCATTCATTCCATTATTGTGTTTCATTTTTTCTGAAATATGTTCAGCTTTTCCGTAGATATATCATTTTAAAGTAATATACGTGTTCATTGCCTACTAGTTCACAACGTAACTTAACGCAAGCTTGTTTTACTGTGCAATTAACATGTACACCATGCGACTATAAGACGGCCTGTCGGTGACGATTATACAAACTTGGAATTTTAAAATTATTAAATTAAAAAGATTTTATTATTTACAATTAATAGCTAAAAATAAAGATATATTCAGTGAATCAAGATTGAACTTACAGCTCATCAATAGCTTCTAGGATACAATGTATTTAATAAAGACTAATATGTCTTTCTAATCTTGAGAATAATATATCTCAATATCTATCTATGCTAAAGGAACTAAAAATTCATAAGGTCGTTAGTTGGATAGAGTAACGATTAACTTGGGAGTAAAGCATGCCACTTGCCCATTATCTAGGTTCTTAGCTGAAGGAATATCTGTAATTCTGTATAGATGATATTACAGCGTCTAACTCAATAATCTTCACACATTTTTATTCTAGTTTACCTCCGGGAGTCTAGCAAAAATATTTCTACGTCAACATAGCCTAGGGACAAATCAAGTGCAATTACTACCAATAATTCTATAGTTACTACATTACCGAATCCTTGAAACAAAAGTGGATATTTCAACTCTGACAACGAACTTTCGAAATCACTAACATTTGACGAGGGCAAAAGAAGAAGTGAAAAGGTTTGATTTCGAAAATAATGTTAAACGGTGTCATTAATGAACTGGTGACCCTTAGACTGGTTGTAAACGCTGCGGCTAAGCTTGCCGAGCTTCATAGACACTAAACAATAGAGACCTGTACATCTACGTATGTAGGTCCAATAATTGTCTCCAACAGACAACAACAGACAAATAGTTCCGTCTTCTGAATATTCCAAAGAGATTAGAGCAGTTTAATCACGGTGGCGGACACATCCTGGAGATGTGATAGGGGTTATCAGTCGGGTTAGCAATCAATAGCAGCTGTCGACGTGTCATAGAGCAAATGACGCCTTGTCAGCTTACTGACCAAGTAACGTGTCGGAATGAAAAAGGTCTTAAGGATATGCTTTACCTTACATTTTAAGCATTACATTCTTTTTAAAACAGATCCACGCGAAGAAAAAGTATGACCGACAACATTTATGGGTTGTTTAATTACTTGGTTGATAAGTAATAAATAAAA